GCGTGGCTAGGGCCATCTTACATTTTGCGGTTCTTTGCTTCCATTTGCTTAAGAATACGTATGTTGCACTTTCCCTGGTTGGTTTCAAAGGGAATCTATCACTACTGGAAATATGTTGTATTTTTGCAAAGGGCTCAAGCAAATGGAAGCTTGGGAGGCCCATACGGTTGTGAAGCAGCTACTTTGGCTGGGTAGATCGCTGGTAAGTCAGCTGGCTCACCAATCAGTGCCAATCAGTCTGGTGAGCTAGCCAACTGTCGAGCCAACAAGTTACGATGAATAACTGAGTCTGTTTCCGAGTGATACTGCGGATGGTTGTGAAATGCATTTCGCAAACCCTGGAACGATGATTTCCATTGATCTCCCCTGCAAATACCAAACAAATAATGGTTTCAACAATGGTTTCACAGTGGGGCGAAATGGAGTTCGTCCATCCACAGTACATACGTAGCAAGGTTTTTTCCACTTCCCTTGGAATGTCCCTCCGCGTTGCAGATCATGTCCAGACTTCCGGGTAGGGCGAAGTCAGTTTGCTTGAAAAAATACACTCCCTCGGGCGAACCGGAAGCTCTCCCAATTGAGTCACAACCAAAACCTGCTACACAAATGGTGAACCCAGAACCATGTAAGAAATTGAAAAGGCGGCCGCAACAATTTCCGGCTGGGAGTGCCCCTTTCCAACCTTCTACCCGAATCGGTGTTGAGGACGTGACTCAATTGGCCTTTTGTAGATCGCCAAGTCCATGGCTGTGGCTCAAAAAGCCCGGAATTCCAAAAGGGAACCCTTGGGAAGTGGAAACATGGGTACCAAAACCTGCGGTTTGCCCCGATCGTTTAATTTTGAGCCACACCCCTGTCCGCTCGGGAGCTTCCATGGAACCGCCTGGAGGGTCTCGCCAGTCGATGGACTCCGCCACCTTCTTTGAACCACGAGCCCCAGGAGAAAAACGCGGTGAACATGGGAAAGCCGGCAAATGTACTGTATACCCTTTCGTGCATTTTGCCAAGGCATGTTGGGACTTTAGCTGTTGCAAACTAAGAGGGGTTTTCCATAAAACCACCAAGAGTTAAACTTTTAGCAGGGGAGCACAACTGAGTACCCTTTGTATTAAGTGACTCGTGGTCGTGACTCTATGGTTTCGCGTGAAGCTCCATGTAGCTTCGGTTTGGGGGAGCCAATCTAGCAGCCTATGTTTGAGAGGCCCCAGCGGCCGTCGCCCAAGAAACGAAGCCACATCAGCGCCACTTAAACTCATTGCGTGGGGATCGTGAACTAGAGCGATCTGCCTGAACCCTCAAACTATCCCCAAAAATGGGATAGACCCCCAAACTATGTGCTGAAACGGTAAAACCTTGTTTGTGGGTAGATAAGTTTGAGGGACCAGGTTAGCATAATCGAAAGTAAAGAGGCGCTGGTGCTGCTCACTTACATTTGATGGGAGGTTCGTTGCTTCGCGTGGCCAACAGAAGAGAGCCTCTCAACCGCGCGAGCAAGAAAAGGTTTGCGCTTGCTGCTCATTGTGCAGTTTGTGTGGATGTCAATGGAAGTATGTATGAGTGTACATATACATTGTCCACAGGTACATAGGTACTTGATATGTCACATATGCACATATCTGGTTGCCAAGTGCCCCATATCTTTTGCATTTTGCTTGGATGTTAGGACTTTAACTTTTTGCCAGCCAATGGGTTTTCCATTAAACCAGTAACAGTTAAACTTTTTGCTGGGGAGCAGAAAGCAACCGAGATATGTTTTGATGTTCGCATGCGATAAATATGGGATTACAAAGCCCCACCATGGAGCAATCAGGTTTTGGAGGCGCCAAGGGTCAAGCAAAGTTCAATAGAATCCTTCTGGAGCAATCATCAATGGTTACTGGCGTCTATGGTAAAACTTGAGCTGTTTTTTTTCCACTAGGAAATGTTGCTTACTTGCCAACCTCAGATGTCAGCTGGGGCACAATGAAGATTGATCGTGGCTCATGCGAAATCCCTGGCATGACACGTCTGGTGTTTTTTCTGCATTGAGTATGCCCCCTATTAGGTGACATGACACTGTCGGTGGACGGGTATCAGGCACCACTTGCATAGCCTAAACATACCGCATGCACAGCTTTGCAACGGCACGTTCCGAAGCCTAGGTATTTAGGTATTTCAGATGAGATAAACTAGGGCTGCCCTATGGATGCCCAAATATTGCAAGTAAGGGAACAAGCAAGCCTTCTAGTTTGCATGTTACTGCGAACGGCATCCCCCGAGAGGTTCAACCCGGACCCATCGATTCGATGAGAATCCCTTCAAGAAGGTTCATGAGCCCTTGGGTTTGGTCAGATGTTTAAGCGGTAGGCGCCTGCTTTCTCTGGGTTTGTCTCAGAATCTGAATCTGGTTTCCCTTTAGCGCTCGGTTTCCTTTTGGATTCCTTCTAACATTTCAACCGTTGAACAGGACTGGCAAAAAGGAGCTACCCATATAGTCTTAGATATGATCGGTACCCTTCCAATGGTGCGAATCCTCCAAGGCTTCCTAGGCATTGGATTTGCGGTGATGCTTAAAGGGGCGATCGGGTACTCAGTATACTACCCATAATAACCCATTTACCATGGTTATAAGTCTAAGTGGGTTGTAAGTTACTAACCACCTAAGTACCCGATCGCCCCAAGTGGTAACCCAGATTGACTAGGGCTGTCCAATTGACGGGGATTTGGACCACTTGGAGTTTCCACCCAATGATCCAGTTTTAAGGGTCACCCCAATGCACACCGGGCCCCGGACCCGAAGAAATGGAGAACCCCGACCAATCCAACTCAGTCCAATGGAAAACAAACACCTAGACTCTCCATGACCCTTAAAAAATGGGGTCATTGCCTAAAATTAAGGGGTCATGACCCCATTTTCTAGGGGTCATGGAGACTCTAGGCAGATTTGAGGGCCCAAAAGCCATCCGTCGACCTGGGAGGTTGAAACACAAGTCGACAACTCCTTCCAACTCGCCCACCCAAACTTGCTGGTGCGATAGGCAGGGAATGAGGGAATGACCCTTATAAACTCCATCCCTGGTGGGTTCCTTTCGAAAAAAAAAGGGCAATCCCCAGAGAGGTTCCATTTTTCATTCCCTTATAAACTCCATCCGTTGTGGATTCGCCACAAATGTGGATTCGCCACAAAAGGCCCGAGAGGCTTCCTTCAAAGCTGCCGAGGCTGTTGAACTTCTTCAAGGGCGAGGATCGCACGGCTTGGGCCCTGAAGGGGCCTATATGGGCGCGCGTTTTGAAACTGGAATTGACTCGCAAAACTTTAAAGCAGCCCCAAAACGGGTACCTTCCCAAAAAACATCGAAGGCCCCCATGTGCCACGACTCAGAGACATCCATGTGCCTCGTGAGAAATCTGGGCCCGGACCTCAAGAAGATTCCCACGAAGTCGTGGTTCAAAGCGAAACCACCCCCGCAAGCAATTTTGCGAGAAGCCCGTGTTTCATGGAACCACTTCTGCCCCAGAAAGAACTCTAGGCTCACCTTTAAATTTGGGATGTTGGTCCCTAGGGTTGGGCTAAGGTTGCTTTCGTGAGTTCCCGGCCATATGGCTCCAACTTTTTGCTTGAGTTCATGGCCCCACTCCCTTCATGGACAAAGGGTCACCTCAGTTGTTCAGCGGCACCAATTCTTTTTCCCGTGTTTTTTTTGTTTTGGGGGGGTAGTGGCACCCGTTTTCCCGTTTTTGTTGTTTTGTTGGTGTAAAATGGTCTTCCCCTGAAAAGGTTCGATCCCTTTTTTTCCAGGGTCACTGAGCAACGGAGTCACGCTCTCGACCATTCCAGTGGCAAAATCCACGGATTGGACGTGTGTGTGTGTGTGTGTCTTTTTGCCAACCCACTTGATCGGACGTGAGCCTGTCTTTTCTCTTGGTGGCTTGGATTGGTTTGGTGGTCCCTCTGCAAGAACCAGGGTTCAAATCCCAACCACCAATCCAAATCACCTAGATAGCCAAGTTGCTGCTTTTTGCAGTCACTGTTGCTGTTTCTTGGGGGTCAAGCGCATGGACAGAAACGATCGCAACTGGCAATCCAAAATCACCCACTGAGGGCTACCTGAAGTTTCAGTCAGGGGATGGAAGGAACGCACTACCTAGAGTCTCCTTCTTTCCCCTAGAAAAAGAATTGGCCCATTTGACCCCTTAATTTCAGGCCATGACCAACCATTTTTTAGGGTCGGAAGGAGAGTCTAGGTACACACGTCGCGACATTTGCAAATCTTCGGCTCAAGCCGCGCGAGCGAGCTCTTGGGAGCAAAGAGCCGGCAAGTCTCAACTCGTCTTTGAGGCTTCGGACCCGGCCCCGACATGGCGAACCAGTTTTTCCTTGTGGTTTCCCTTTTAACGACCACATAAGACGGGTACCCTGAAACAAAAACACCAAAAAACAACGAAAACACCATGACCCCGGGCACATACCGAATACTGGGCCATCCAGAATTGATGTAAATAGTTTTGTCCCAGATCAGTATTTTAAAACCAGATTTCTATCCAAGGTGTTCGCATCGCAATCTCGGTCTGAACCGAATCCATAATTTGTGTCGGCCCCCAACATGTTGTATCCTGAACCATTCCACTAGAGCCAGAATCTCAGCATGCTTGCTGTGTTTGCCCCCACACCATATCTTTCTCAATGGAGAATCGACCCTTCAAAACTTGCGCCAATTGGACCCCCAAAACAACCGAATTGGAGCTTTAGGCTTCTAAATCATGGAGAACCCTTAGCAAATCATACTTGCCAATGAGATAGATGCCTTCAAAGAACTCTCACCAAACTATTCAACACCTCCCAAATACTAAACAATACTAAACGCAATTCACACCCACCTACCAAATACTAAACAATACTGAACACAATTCACACCCATGTTTTTCTTCGCCCCTTGTTTGCACCGGCCCTCCTTTCGCGCGAAGAGTCGAAGCGCCAGCGCGACCCCGGCCATGGTGGGGTTTGAGGTGGCAGAGTCGAGATGGAGGCGGCTGCCAGGCGACGCTCACCGAGTCGAATGGGCGAACGCCATGAAGATCCTTTGCCTTTCTTCGAAGGACTGGCTTTGGAGACATGGTATTTTTGCAGAAGGCATAGTTTGGGTTGTCATTCCTCTCTGTTTTGTGGTTAGATGGTGTTAAGTTTCAAACATGGTATTAAATTGGTGCGAAATGGATTTCGTCCATCAGTAGCTGTGCTGTTCATCGTGGTTCATCGCTTAGCTTGGGCAAAGACATGGAAGGGCAGCCCACTGGTTGACGCGGGGTAGATAAACCAGGGCAACCCATCCAGTTTTCCAAAGGTCACTTATGGGCGAGGGGACCCCCCAAGGTCGTCATCTCACCACCTAGCTAACTCCCTTCAAGTTGTTGGATGCACGGTTGCTTCCAACCACCAACAGCCGAAAATGACTTGCAGACCTCAAACTACCCGAGCAAAAAAAACAACGGATCTTGCCCCCTTTTAAGATGGGGGTAAAAAAGTCACGTTTTTCTCGGCAGTTTCTTCGGGTCCATGGAATGGACAAATAGAAATTCGATCCCCATGATCCCCGGTGTCAACAAAGCGACGTGAGGATCGGTGAGGTTGGCGCTTTTTTGGCACCAGAATGTTGACCCCATATGACAATTAACACCAGCTGATTACTAGGGGGTGTCCATTTCTGTGTGACATGTGGTTGGAATCAGACCACTTTTCGAGGGGGACACCCCCCTAATCAACTGGGCTTGATTTTTATGGGGTCAACATGAAAAGGAACAACGCCAGTTACCCAAGTTATAATCATTCTAGGGGTACCTTCCCCATTCTTTCCAGGGATCCGAATCTTTTCAGGAAACCGTCAAACATCTTGGGGAAACAGATCCGGTTTTGGAAACGAAGGATGGTTGAAAAGAACGGGTTTTGCTTTAGCCAGCAAAAAAGGGTTCCAACAAAAAGGATTTCGCCAGTCCATCCACAGTGATGAATGGAGGGACACCCCCCAAACGAATCTGCTTGTTTTCACATTCCATATTCCATAGGTTCTACAGAATTTCCGGGATTACACCCTCAGATTACATCCCAGGAACATTTCCCCAAATAAACCCAAATAAACCCAATCCCCCCCAAAATCCCCCAAAATTCCCCCTCAACTCCCAGGTTTCACCCGGAAATCCCAAAGCCCAAATCCCCGTGTTTGCTTGGGCGCGTTGTTTTTTTTCCTCCCGAGCTCTCGGCGGGTTTCCCCCGGCGGCTCGGGGAGACCCGAGCCGGTCTCCAGGCTCCGCGCGGCGGAGCGCAGCGGGGACTGGCCGCTGGCGCTGGCCCTGGTGGACCTGCACCCGGAGAAGGCGAGACCGACCCACACCAAGCGAAACCACCAACCTCAAGGGACCGTAAATGTCAAGCCACACCCAGACCCACCCCACAAAACCAACTTTTTAAGGGTCACGGAGAGTGCAGACTCTCCTTCTGATCCTTAAAAAATGGGTCATTGCCTACAATTAAGGGGTCAAATGGGCACTTTTTCTAGGGGTCATGGAGACTCTAGGTGGACGAAATCCATTTCGCACCACTTCATTGGAAGCCATTGCTTGTTGGGGGAATCTTCATGTCAGGGTTTTAGGTGGTGCAGGATTTCGTCCATCCACAGTACCACCCTTTTTGGGGTGGGTTTACCGTCTTTTGAGTGGGTAGTACTTTGCTAATGTGTTTGATGTCCATCCAATGCTTCTCAATGTTGGATTAGGAACAGATAATCCATTATCAACTTGTGTATCATCATCAAATACATCAATATTCATTGAACTATTATTATCAGGAATAATTGCAGTATTATAGAGTATGTACCCCGATTTGTCCCGGTCGTTGTTTGGGGAGAGTGAAAACCATCATCCCCCTCCCCCTTGAAGGTGTGTGAGAAACTGACGCGGAACTGGGTTCGTGAGGTACGTTAGCAGACATGGTTGTGGGTCTGTCTTGTGTTGACGGTACCCTTTTTGGGGCAGCGTTAAAGGGAAACAAGAGGCAACCCAACAATTCTCAGGGCCCTATCTTAAAACAACCCCAAGTGGGTAGGCAGGGTACTAACCATTTCAACCTCCCCTGCCCCTTCTCGAGGGAAAAAGTAGATGGCGCAGGTTCTCACAAGTAAAGTGGAGTGCCGAAGATGGGGCGAATTGTGCCATCCACTCCGCCCAAAAAGTCTTATATTTGGGTGTGTCCTTTCCGATTGTTGCCCTTTCTTGGTGGTTTTATTGGGAAACCAAACGTAGAACCACAATTTGTTGGGGTTCGAAACCTAAAACAGACAGACACCTTCTCCTGATCAATGGATATTTTAATAGGGAAGCCCCCAACTGGTTGACATGGATCCTCACCGATCTCTCATGTCCACCATTTCGGGTCCCTACACTCTCCACGACCCTTTAAAAATGCTTGGTCATGACGAATCTTTCTTTGCGGTAATGACTAAGCATTTTCAAAGGGTCAGAAGTGACCCGAAAGTTGTGGCAGTGGTACTAGGCAGGACACTTGCCCACAGGGCCTGGAAATAACACAAGGAGAGTCTAGGTAATTATACAGGGCTCCAACAAAAAGATACATTTTGCCCATTTGAAACATGTTGCTTTTTCAACACCAAGATAAAGTTGGAAGCCACCATTTACAAGTTGCAATGTTCGACCGGTGTTTTTCATGCATCCGGATCCCTGTTCTATTTAGACCCATTTCCCCACCCCACCCCACCCCACCCCTTCCCGGGCGAAAAAGGGCCGCTGGGACTCGCGGACTCGACTCGCAGGTGGCGTACCACCGGGCCATCAGCGCCTGCGGCCGCGGGCGGCGATGGCAGCTCTCGCTGCAGATGCTGCGCGCCATGCCGAGGCGCCAGCTGCGGCCCGTGGCTCGGCGGAAATCGGTCGGCGGGGGGATCGGGCCAGAGATCGGGACAGAGGCTTCCCCCGAGCGGGAAACTCATAGCAAGTAGGTCCCCCAGCAATTGGTGCCCTTTCTCACCCCTTTTTGGGGGGATTCCCCGCTAAAATGGCTGTGGGTCAAACCCAATGGTACCGTTGTTGGGTAGGTGCACCACCCATTTTAGTCTATTTTAGTGGGGATTGGGATGTTCACTGGAGGTACGGGCTTTTGACCCATGGCCAAATAGACGACAGAAGAAAGTGGGTACCCTTATTACCTCTCTACTGGAGGACCTAGCCAAGGGTTGCCAGGACACCACCGCTTGCAAGTCAGCAGACCATTTGGGTCGTTTGGTTACTTCCCATGTTTTGGACTTGATCGTCACAGCTTTGGGGTTGGTGTCGTCACATTTTTGCAGCTGGAGTCACCAGAAGTGTGGGACAATATGTTTGTTTGGCCCATCAACGGAAGTGAGACTCCCAGTCGCGCAAGGTTCGTTTTTGTTGTGGCGTAGGATGTATTTTGTTGTTTTATTGCGGACCTCGTTTCGGGTGGGCTCCTCACATTTGTTGGTTAAGGAGCACCATTTTGGTTGGGTGAAAGTGCGTATCCTTTTGAGGCGAGGGAACTGTGTGAGAGGAAGATTTGCCGAACCCATCCGGACCCCTGTAAGGCTCAATGAAAGGAAACCAAAAGGACAGCCACCAGGACAGGGTCCCAGCCAAGAGCTTCTGATTTGGATCAGGTTTTTTTTTTTGGGGGGGTTTCATTACTTATGGAGGGGAAACCAAAAGGTTTCTTACTACGGGGTCAACATCCGGGTCAATGTCACTGCCTGAATGTCCGGCTCAGTCAGTAAATCATTGGCCACTTAGGGTATAGTCTGACTAGCGTCTAGCAGGAGTTCAGGAGTTCAGCGTATAAGTGGGTTATAGCCGTGATGGGATGGCAGTTGTGAGATACTCTTCTTCTTGGATTCGCAGCAACATTTGCAGACCAAGACAGAAGAGAACCCCTGCACTCCGCACCAATCCTGAGGTCCTACAAACATGCCGGAAGAGTTTTCGGTAACTTGCGACATGGAAGATCACCCTATCATCTTCCTGGAGTCTCCATGACCCTTTTAAAATGGGGTCATTACCCGGGGTCAAATGGGCCCGCTTTTAAAGGGTCGTGGAGAGTCCACGTTCTTGATATTCATGGGAATTCTGCACTTTCAGGGGTCCATTTGTTCCGAAATGACAGCCGGCCTGTCTTCCTTTAGACCTCCAAAATGGTTTCGGTGTTCTTTCTAATTTCCCGTCAAAACTCCCCCCAAAAACGAAAAACGTTTCCCCCCAAAAGACACACCCATACTGGATTTGGTGAAATGTCCACTATACGGTCCTTTTGTGAGGGACATGAGACATGGGGTCGCTAAATGTTTCACAGAAACCAGGTAACCAGGTGTACCTGGAAAATTGATTTCCTCTTCAAGGGACCCTCTGTCAGGTGCAATGTTAGTGGAAGGGGAGGGTTTGTCAGTTGCCCAGATTTAGGGCTTTGCACATTCAGCCGATGAGGACGTGATTAGCTACAACCGTGTCATCAGTGCCTGTGAAAGGACTGGAGAAGATGGACTGGAGAAGATGGAAAACAACCGCTTGGTGCTAGATAGCACGCAGTACTTCCATGTACCTGTGTAG